TTTAGGGTTTACTTGAGGGTTTAGGGATTTAGGGTTTCGGGGTTTAGGGTCTCGGGGTTTGGGGTTCAGGGTCGATGAAGCGTTGAGCACTGAGACGATTTAAATTCTGTATCCAAGCGCCGAACATTTCCCAGGCTACTTGGAGATTCATGGTTATCTTTCAGTGGAGTGTTCCACCTATTTCCACTGACGGTAGACCGCCATTTCAAGAAGCATCGAACCCCTAAGCGCTAATGTGGAAACCTGTAAGGGTCACTCTTTCAGGTTTCATGTTTTGTCGGGGGAGGTAAATCACAAACCACAAGCCCTAAACCTGCATATCCTTGTATGTTGGCCATAAGGTGGAGTCCCTTTTCGGTTAGGATTCCTTTCAAGGAAGTGTATTCCCAATGGTCTTTACAAAGACATGCCCCAAATCCTGAATCCTTCAACCCTTTGGGGGTCCTTGTAATGAGGATCATCTAGGGTTTAGGGTTTAGGGGTTTAGGGTTCATAATGGCGGCCCCCTAGTCTTCGACATTTCCGTATCCCCTACACAGCTAGGTTGATTCCGAAATGCAGACGGCGCTGCATTGGGCAGTGCCTTTGACAGCATCCAGAGGAATGGGCGCTTCACTTGGTTGAGGGCTCAAGGGTTCAAGGGTTCAGAATACAACCCCTATATAAGCCCCAGTATAATAAAGTAGTTTCCATTTTATTGGCCATTATCCCAATATAATCCCTATATCCCATAGGGTGCAGGCTTTATGGTTTGAGGGCCTAGGGTCTAGGGTTTAGGGTTTGGGAGTCCAGGGTTTAGGGTTTAGGGTGTAGGCTCCCGTTGCGTGGTCCTTAGTAGGAGGGGTGTTTTTGCTCGCAGAGTAGAATGGGATCGTAAATTTGAGAAGACTAGGTCAACGTCAGGTTTCCGGGCAGACTGGATCCTGATGAGTAGTCCTCATACATTCGCCATAGTATAGTAGTCTCGATTTTGGTTTCTGTTCCTTCATTCCTTACGGACAGGCAGCAAGTAAACCCTAGGCCCTAAACCCTAGCTTGACAACCCATGTCTTAGGATGGTGTCAAGTAGTGCTGAGCCACCCAGGACGTAAAACGACCCTGACGCAGTCTCAAGAGAAAACCTTTTTGGTTCCTACAGTCGTATGAACAACAATCATGATCATAATGACAATAGTGTGAAATCAACGCTTTTTGGGCCTGGGTGTTGCCAGTCAGTCAGTAAGACAACGAAAGCGCGCATCCTCCATTTTTGCTGTGAAGCCCTGCATCTTGGATTTTGCTTTGACTGCTACTGTTGTTGCTGCTACTAGTTTGCTAACATTGAGACCGTTAGTAATGCTGTTATTACTATTTTGGCTGCAGGCTGAGGCTCTCATTTTCACAGGCCTTGTGTACCCCCACAACCCCTACCTCCAACGAAATCCCAAACTAGGTTTTTGTCCTTCGGTGCACTCGATGTCTGGGGCCAGAATAGGACAGGAGCCAAAAGCAGCTCCATAGTTTCATGAGCTCGGAAGGTCTTTAATGCTGAATTGCAAATCCCGCATCAGGATCACGGTTTTCATCTCTTTTAGCTCGGAACCTGCGTCCCAAACCCTACACCCCAAACCCCACAGACCGATTTTAGGCTTTGGTCTTTAGGGTTTACGCTTTAGGCTTTAGGCTTTAGTGTTTAGAATTTCAGGCGTTAGGGTTTAGGGTTTAGTGTCTACGGGTTTAGGGTCTAGGGTCTAGGGTGGTGGCTTTAGGCTTCAGTGTTTAGGGGTTAGGCTTTAGGGTTCCTTACGCCTTCAGGCCGTTGCCGGCAAGACAGCGGTAGCTCGGCTACTGGCCAGCATTGGGCAGAAGGATGCCAAGAACGAACAGGCCGACGTTCTTGGGGTTTAGGGTTTAGGGTTTAGGGTGTAGGATTTAGGGTTTAGGGTTTAGGATTTAGTGTCTAGGGTATAGGGTTTAGGATTTGGGATGCAGGGTTTAGCAACATGGGAGGAATGGAAATGAACATGGAAATGATTATTTAGGCTTCAGATTAGGTCAATCCCCCTCTACAGTAATAGCCCCTAAATATGGAGTTAGTAGGGCCTTTATATACCCACAGTAGTCCCTTGTGGTACCCATTACTGGGTGGGGGACTGATAGGGAGACCATTGAGGGACCTGTAGGTCTGTGTGAACGATATGAGGGAAACTAATTGCCATAATTGCTATTTGGGGCGCAGGAATTTGATCAACTACGAGCTTAGGGTTTGAGTTTGAGGGTTTTTAAGGCTTAGGGCTTAGGGTTCGAGGTTGAAGGTCCAGGGTTTGGGGATAGTAGTTTAGAAGCTAGGCCTGCCCTCATACAGGAATGGGCCTGCTCTTATGTAACAAGAGGGGTCAGGCCTAGATTGCAGTGCGACCTCCAACCGTGCTATATGGCAGAAGGATGTCTGGGAAGAGGAATAAGAGGGTTGGCCTAAACCCTAAACCCTAAACATTGAACCTTAAACCCTAAGCGCACAACCATAAACCCTATGGTTTAAGGCTTTACCCGGGGCTGGGGTTCCTTGTCAAGGCATGTTACAGAGCACATCTCGAGCCTCCACAGAAGTCTGCAATGGAGCTGACTCGCCAAAGATGTGGGGCTGAGATATGGGTGGTGGTCAAAATTATGGTCCCTTTTTGTGTACCCTAAATATTAAATTAGGTGCCGTATTATAATAGGGATCCAAAATAGGACCATAATTTTGACATCCACTCATATACAGATTTTTCTATGTTGGCGATACGACAGGAAGCTTGAGGGGTCAAAAGGACTACAGGCGTGTCTGCAGGCTTTCGTGGTGAGGAATCCGTGGGTTCCATCTTTACAAGGAGACAGCGGAATCTGTAAACCGAAGCTCCGAACCCAAAACCCGAAGCCTAAAACCCTAAGCCTTAAACCCAGAAACCCATCCTGAATTCCCAGGCCTTAAACTACAAGCCCTAATCTTCCTTTAGCCCCTATCTATTCACAGAAAATACCATGTTTAAGCCCTATATACCCCTTTGTAACCTTCATCACCCCTATATACCCTTACATAACCCTTTCAACGCCTGTATACCCTAAGCCTTAAACCCTAAACCCTAAATCCTGAACTCTAAACCCTAAACCCTGAATCCTCAACCCTAGATCCTAAACCCTAAACCCTAAATCCTAAACCCTAAACCCTAAATCCTAAATCCTAAATCCCAAAGCCTAAATCCTAAATCCAAACCCTAAACCCTAAATCCTAAATCCTACGTCCTAAACCCTAAACCTCTTCAACCCAGCCTCTGGTTGCAGGGCGAGACGCCTGCGCAGGTTGCCGAGCCGCGTGGCCGGAAATCTTCTTTTTTTGGTGTATTACTTTTAACAGAGCGCGTTTAGGGTCTAGGGCTCCAGGGTGGATTAGGGTTAAGTTAAGGGTTTAGGGTTACGGGTTTAGGGTTAGGGTTTAGGGAGGGTTTCCCAAAACCCCAAACCCCCAAACCCCAAATCCTAAATCCCTGAACCCCTAGACCTTAAACCTTCACCCAAAACCCGAAACCCTGAACCCTTAACCTTGACCCACAAAACCGTGTGGGTTCAAAGTTTGAGATCACGGTATCAGGTCTTGGCTCTCACCGTTTACATGAGCTACTGTCAGTATCAGTCTTTTTAAAGGACCCTTAAGGGTTTAGGATTTAAGGTTTTGAATTTAGGGCTTAGGATTCAGGGCTTAGGGTTAAGGTTTTAGGGTTTAGGGTTCAGCCTGATAGAATGACCCTTAACACTGGACATAGGGATCCCTCACGTAGTTTGATTTAGTCCTTAACAAAGTCCCTAAGCAGGAACCCATGTCCATCAAATTATGTAGGACATATTGACTGTAGCTCACATGGACCAGGGACAACCATTGTAGATCCGATGTATCACATTCATATTCCGCTACATGCATGCATCTATCGGTCCTTTGTAGCCCCGTTTCAATAGGCCCCAAACTTTTGCTGGCAACTCGCGTTGGAGGATTCCTGGAGCAGTGCTGGTGTGTTGGAATTGCAGGGTGCTGGTTTGCAGTCATGTAGGGAATGTAGGGGTCCTTTCATAGGAGTTGTATGGGATACATAGGGATATAGGGACACATAGGGATCGATATGTAGTGATATACGGAGCTTCCAAAAGTTAGGGACTGCGTTTTCAGAGCCCTTATAACAAGGATTGGGTTATATAAGGGGTGCTTGCTTGTCGCAGGGTCCCATGTACCCATACACTTTACGTTGGGATACGGGGTCATAAGGTTTGGTCTATGCAATGTCCCGACTTTGTCGTTTCTGGAACTCCTCTTAATTAGTACAAGTTGAGGAGCGCGCTTACTGTTCGGGCCCAGGTCGGGTTTCCCATTTCTCTTAAGAAAGATGGGACCTGACTAGGCTTAACCTGCAAATCATCAGGAGATCGTTCATGGTATCTTTGATGACAGATTCCTGAGAACCCTGAAGCCGAACCACCCCCAGAAACGAAGGAAAATGGGTCATACGGAGACGGCGGCTGCCCTGATGTAGGCGCAATGCTGCGTGGAATCGGATCAAAGCGTGAAGCTATGCATGATCACACGCTCTCTTTTGCTGAAGGGCTATGTTACGTTGGTAGCCAGGACAATTTGGTGGTTTGGTCCCAACATCTTTGTGGGAGCAGGGCATAGGAGCGTGAATAGCTAGCTCCTTGGTAGGTGTTTCTGTGTCAGGGAATGCGGCAAAACGACTGCAGAGGTGTCGCGACAAGTTGGCATTTCAGCCCCTTCAATAGTGAATGGCCTCACTCTTGGCCGTGTTTTGTTGGCTCCATCGCCTAAAACATTTTAACCTTCAAGGCCGAAAACTTAGTCTAGACGACTGGCGCCTTGCCGCTTTTTCTGGGATTCTTAAAGCAAGAATCCATGTACACCAGGACAGGCTAAAAAGACACCACCAAGTCTAGAGGGCAACCGTCATGTTTAGGACAACCCTAAACCCTGCGCCGCCGCAGCACCTGGACCCTGAGCCCTAAGCCCTAAGCCCGAGATCTAAAGCCGAGACTTGCGGTTTAGGGTTTAGGGTAAGCCGAATCTTAGATCCTATTACATATGCCGCCCCCGCTCTCTCTTTCTCCCTCTCTTTCTTTCTCTATCTGTCTTCATATATGTCCTGTGTTTGTGTTGATCATAAGGTTCTTTGGGCAAATCATTTAGGGATTTTTTAGGTAGACCCCCGTCCAGTAATAGTGACCATAAGGGATGATGTCGATCATCTGAGGGTCCTTTATATTTTTTCTTAGTATACCACAAGCCCTAAACCCTAAGCCACTATTACAGGGTGGGGGTTTCCTCCTTAGGGATCCTCTACGTCTGTGGGGAAGGTCTGTTTTCCAGGATGGCCATTTTGGGAACTGGAGCTTGATCAACTTCCAAATTCATGGTGTACTTAAACAAGCCGGAAACCCGAACCCTCAAAACCCTAGACCCTAAACCCTTACCTTTGCACCTGTAAATCATAAACATCCCCGAAACCCTTAACCCCAAACACTAAGCCCTTACCCCTAAATCCTAAACCCTTAATCCACAAATCCTGAACCCTAAACCCTAGCCCCTAAACACCGAAACCCCAACAACACCCAACCCGCCGATCCTGAGAAGTGCTTTGGCCATGCAGCGCAGGCCGCCGAACCCGCGATTGCCAGCGAGGCAGTCTCGACTTTTCGGGTCCGAAAGAGAGATTTACCACCATGATGTCTTTTATGATTGTCATGGTTACTGTGATTACTATTGTTTGATATTGTTTGTAATGTTGATATTGGTAATCAAGGGTCCGAAGGAGAGTTAGTTCATCATCATGTTTACTGTCGTGGTTAGTGTTAACATTATTGTTCTTGCTAGTGCTGATATTCCGCTTGCTATTCGAGCCTTACTTTATGGTTGCAGCTTTGGCAGTACTACCAGTAGGCGTGTTAATGCGCACTATCACCGTTAGTACCGACCTTTACGATTACAATGTTGGTAGTGATAGCAGCATGGACTTCACCTAGGCTGGGTTGCTGTTAAGAAACTTCAATTAAGTTACCAAATGGGTATATATAGTAATTAATATGGGTTCCCCAATATGGTAACTTAAATTAATTTCCTTAACGGCAACCCAGTAAACCCAAACCTTTGAGGTGTATGCTTTGGGTTTAGGGTTTAGGGTTGAGGGGTTTTTGGGCGAAGGGTTAGGAGTGTGTGGTAACGATGAAGTTCAGATGTTCGGGGATTTTTCTTCTCACGTCCCATTACTTGGATCCGAACTTCCTCGACCCCGTACTGAAACTTGTTACTTAAAGAGCCTCCGGCTCAGTGCGCCGACCCACAGGCCAGACCTGTGAAACCGAAGCGTGGTTGTAACAGGAAGGTGAGTACGAGCGCTCACACTGCAACAAGCTGAAGCAAGCGTCATTTCTCAAAAATCTCCTGGTGACACCTGGCGAAAGGAAATCAGTCAAGGTTTCGGGGCGTGTCAATTGGGTTGATCCCCCAAAGGTTTGGGGCGGGCTCCCAGGGGCTTGGGGCCCAGGGCTTGGGGCCGGGGCTTTGCCACGTTCTGAAAAGTCTCCTGGTAGGAGGCTGGCAAAGGGGTGGGAGTTGGCTGAAACGGCTGCCGCGGAGGTGGGCCTGGAAGAAGCGGGCACGGGATACCCCCCCTACCCCCCACCCCGCCCCCATCCCCCGCGTTTCTAGGCTGTGAGGACAAAAGAAGAGGGTTTCACCCTCTCCATTACTGAAACCATCCAACACGGCGGACATCAAGTCTCAGGTCTGATATTATCCTGAATCCCGAAACTCGGCACTGTAGCCCCACACTGGTTCCCCACAATACACAGACGGATAAGAGGATTTGAGTGACCCAATCCCTTGAAGAAGGGCTCTGTAAGATGATAGTCCCTATTTCTGGGGTTCGGGTTCCCAGAACGTTTGCAATCGACAGTACAAGCGTGACCAAAAGAAGGATCTACCCTTGTGACAAGTTACGACCTTAGGCTAGCCGTTCTTACCGATTATCCCCCTTGTCTGCGTTGCTAAGTTTTTCTGAGCTCTCACATAATTTTTCCGGTCTTAATAACATGCGTCTTGCTGCATTGTACCCGCAGCTTTTCCCAGGAGCTAAACGGCTGATTCAGCATGTCGGCGTGGGGGGCAGGTACGTCGGATGTCATACAAGCCCCCTAAACCACGGCGGTCTGTCACCAGAGGCCAAAGCGAAGCCCGAAACCTACCGCAGTAGAACTCCCGATCGCCAAATCCTACACGTTCAGGCAGAATCCCGAAACGCTGAAACCCAAGCCCTTAACCCCAAGCTATCCGCGCTGGACCATGACGGCCAGGCTGGACTTTAAGAGCCTCGGGCTCAGTCCGCCGACCCAGAGGCGGAGAAGTCGCGAAAGCAACGACGGCGTTAACCCTAAGCCCTATAAACTCTACACCCTATAAACACTGAACCCTATAAACCCTAGAACCTAAACCCTAAGGCGCTGCAAAAAAAGACCCTAAGCCTTGATGTTGTCAGCGGTTGGCACGAGACCAAGCGGCGCAACAAGATTAGTTCAAGCTAGGCTGGGGGGACTCTGCAGTCTTGCTGTTTTCAGTGGCTGCGCACAAAGCCCATCGGCGCAACAAACTGAGTTGCCTGGACTGTGCAGGACCTACACTGCATTCCATTGTTGCAGACGTGTTCAGGCCTTGATGAGAGCCTGGCCTGGTGTGGGCGCCCCGATGTGGCAGGTCCCTACCTCCCCCCAACTATCACCCCCCTACCCCCTCCCCTTATCACTCCCCCCCTAACCCCAACGCCACCAGAGGTCGGCGGACCTAAACCACTAAACCCAAAACTCTGGACCCTACAACCTAAATTCTAAGTGTTTAACCTTCAACCCTAAAACCTACACTTTCAGCCCAAAACTTTGATCCCCAAAACCGAAACTCTAAGCCCTAAACCCCAAGCCCTAAAACCAAAACTCTAAGCCTTAAACCCTGAGCTCTGAGCCTCGAAGCCTAAACTCTAAGCCCTAAACCCTCAAAACAGCAAACCTCTTCAAACCAAGGCTCAAGGAGTTCGCGCTTCGCACCAGGCAGCGCCACCTACGAGTTCATTGCCAGGCTGCTAACATCCCCATGAAGGAGAGTCTAGGGTTTGGAGTTAAGGATTGAGGGTTTGGGGTTTAGGGCTTCGAGATTCTATGGCCTTCAGGGGTTTAGGGGTTTCAGAGTGTAAGGGGCTTAGGGCTCAGAGCCTTGGGCTCCCCAAACTAACATGGAACCTGCGGTAACGAATTTTGAAAAGGCAGTATTCCCTGTATGGGTCGTTTGGGTCCAAGCTTGGGATCCTCATTCGAAAGCCTGGGCCCTTCCTTTGTGCTTTTCGCGGTATTCGTTTCCTTACATAAGTGCAAAGGGGATTCTCTTTGTTTTCTTAGGGGAATCGGGGCTGAGGAAAGTAGGGGCCTGCAGCCCCCAACACAACCGAGGTCATTCTAGTTTGAGGGCGCCTAGCTTGTCTTAGGGTTCAGCAACTACCATTTGGGTCCGGGAGTTAGGTAGGGTTTAGGGTACGTTCTCAAGCTTTTGGCACGAAGGTTGTTTCGCCAGGGTGTGCAAGTCCCAAATTCTGGGTTTAAGGGTTTGCTGGTCTTATTCCCCACATTTTCGTGGGGTTCTAGTTGTTTGATGCACTGTCGCCCGCCATGCCTGCGTGCTTTTCCCTCGTGCAAACAACAGGGTGCGCCCTGGTTCGCTTCAAAATCGTGCGCTCGCTCGGAGCATCCTCAAAAAATCGGCGTTCTATGTTGATTGTAGGTCCCAAAAATACGTAACTTTGCCTTTAAAGTAGTCTTGCTAGAGGGGTCCGGTACTGAACGGGTCGTGCCCCTGATTGACCAAAATTGCGCTCCCGTGCGGGACATCCTGAAAATTCCAGGTTTAGCTTACTCAACAATTATTCATGAATTGCACTCCTGCTCGAGACAGTCGCGTTTGTTTTGCGTTTCCATTGTCTTCATATCATCCAAAATCGCCCTCCCGTGTGGAGCATGCTCGAAATTTCGCCGATTTATCTTCATCAAATTCGATCAAAATGACTCTCCCGTGCGGAAAATTTGGATCATTCATGAACGATGATGTCCAGGCGTTCTTTACCAATTCCATACCAAACGAGTCCCGGTGTACTTCGCTCGAGGTGGTTTTCTGGGTTCACAAGGGTGGTATCGAGCGGAGGTCTCCGGTATAGCTTAGGTATAAGATTCCTCGACTTCGTCGTTCAAAATCTGGGTGTTAAGTGGATGGATCCTATACTAATTCTATACGGGACTTCTCCGCTCAAGCTCGTCTTCTTGGTCCAAGTCTTGAAGGAAATCCCGCTCCTGTGCGGAGCATCCTGAAAATTTTGGGATAAATGGCGCTCCCGTGCGGAGCATCCGGAAAATTTTGAGAAAAACTTGCCTCCCATGCGGAGCATCCTGAAAATTTGGAAGAAAATCGCGCTCCCGTGCGGAGCATCGTGAA